TAAAATGTTGAGTGAGAAGCTAAGAGGTGAAGCGACCGGTAAATTTAATAGCAAGAGAATTAGAGTAAAAATAAGTGAAAAAGAGCTGGAGAATAATGTTCAAATATTATGCCACGTGTTTTGGCCTCAAAACATTTCTAATATAGGGTAGAAAAGACAAATACAATGATATATGGAGATGCAATGAGTGACTAAGAAAGAATAATATAAAAAGAAAGATTAAGGAGATGAAAGAATAATAACAAATAAATTATTAGTATAGAGAGGGAAAGAAATAGGAATGTATTGTAGAAAGAATATAATGATAGAATGTAAGGAGAAGCTAAGATGTAGAATTTCAAGAAAAATAATTATAGAAGTGGAGTAAAAGCAAGTGAAAAAGTACCAGAAGAATAATACTAAGAAGTTGTGTTCTTTGATGTTTTGATATAAAATTTTTCTAATAAAAACATATCGTTGAAGTAAAGAAAAATGGTCAAAATAAGATATATAATAATAGGTCTAAGAAAGAATGAGAGAGATGAGAATGTAATAAAACAAAGAATAATGTTTAGGGTAAAGAATTAAATATAATGATATAAAATTTGAGAGAAAGTTGAGAGATGGAGACTCAACAAAATTTAATGAAAGGTGGAGTACAGGTTGGTGAAAAATTAAGGACTAAAAGAATAATACTAATAAGTTGTGCATTTTTTGTTTTGATTTGAAAATATTTCTAATTATATACCAGGGAGAGAGAAGAAGAAAACAAAAAAGGTATAAAATGATAGTAAGATATATACGCAATTACAAATTAAGAAAAAATAATAGAGAGGGCAAGATAAAGGATATAAAATTTAGAGTTTCGTAGACCAAATTTGGGGTGTAACTTTTTGTACTTTTGTGAAGTTGACAATTCTTTTTAATAAACTATAGCTATGGTTTTTTAAAATTTATAGGTACAGGTTACTGTTATATTTATAATTGATATTAATTGTTGGTACAATTTCTTTATACCTACACTAAGCCATTTTTATAGATAGACATTTTTTTCCTACAATTTATATAAATATGTAAGTATATTTAGACCATATACATACAAATTAGTAAATTGTAGGTATAGATACCTATACCTACATAGAATTGTCAATGTAGGTAAAAAAAATACTGTAGGTATATAGCAAATTTGCTATAGTAGATAAAGAATCATAAAAAAAGAAAAAGAAAAAATGGTTACTAATATAGAAAAGGATTTACAAAGAAATACAAATATGAAGATATGCAAAAAAAGTAATGAATATGTAAAATAATGTGAAAAAATATCAGGTTAAGAAAGAGAAATGAGGGGAGGTACATGTAGTAAGTTAGTCAAAATTAAAATACATAATAATAACATAAAGGACCCTGATTGGTGCACACCCGGATCCAACACCTGGGTGTGCACCCCCATATAAAAAAAAAATTGGACCGGGTGGGTTATGGGCATTTTTTTTTTTCAAAAGGGAGTGTGCACACCCGGGTGTTGACCCGGGTGTGCACATATCATTTTCCTAACATAAATGTATGATGATAAAATGAACTAGAGAATTGAAATGTGCTTCATTGAGATATATATAGAGAGATGCGATCTTAATGTAAAAAACTGAAAAGATTACAGCGTGTGAATAGATAATGATAGGAGGTAATTAGTATCTTGATTATTTACAGGGGAAGAAGTTGAGATAACTGAAATGACTCTTGAGAGGTTGGGTGGAGGTAATTTTATTGATTTGAGCAAGGTCTCAATTAAATTTACTGTGAAGTATTTATAATTTTAATTAGTATTTTGATTATTTACAGGGGAAGAAGGTGGGAACATTGAAATAAATCCTTTTGAGGAGTTGGATGGAGGTAATTTTATTGATTTAAACAAGGTCTCAATTAAACTTACTGTGAAATATTTATAATTTTAATTACTATCTTGATTATTTACGAGGAAAAAAGGTGAGATAACTGAAATTATTCATTCTAGGGGTC